TGAAAAATGCCGCCCAAGGCAAATGCCTTGTTTGCCTCGCGGCAAAACGCCCCTGACTACAACTCAAACCAAGTGAGGCAGGAAATGCAGACACACACACAAACTCATCAGGCAGATAAATTTATAAATAAAATAAACCTGCAGGGACAAGGACAGAAGGATCTTCAGCACATTGGAGTACTTTAGGTATTTTGAATGTTCTTTAAACCCCTTATATTTGAGAGGTAGGGAAAGCCTCATTACCCTCAGAGCCACTGTTGGTGTCGCATAGTGCTGGTCTAAATGGCAAGTGTGACCTTGAGATCATCAATGGCAATTTTTCAGCCACGGCAGTATAAGATTTCTCACCCATTGGCTGCCAGTACTCTCTCATCCAATAAAGACTCTGTTGTCAATTACTGGAAGAGCAAATCCAGGAATTAGGAGGGAGAAGAATGTGCCATCAGCATTGAGACAGGCTTGATGAAAGTAAATGGCCAGTGATGTACTAAGAGAGCTCTCATCCAGCTCCCTGCTCTGCGCCAGGCTCCACGTCCTCTCCCTCTGGGCCGCGCAAAAGACAGATTCCTGCCGGAGTGTTCACTGTCTGTTCTGCTTAATGGAAGGATTGCATTGAGGATGTCCGCCTGCCAGCACAGTGCATTAGGCTGGATACAGTCGCTAATCCCTGGAGCTAAGGCACGTTTGGAAATCTAAAGGATGTTGGCTGTGCATGCTGGCACTTATAATAAATTGACACATAGACAAAAAATAATATTAAAAACAACATAAATAATGTCAGCTTTTTGTGTGAATTTTTTTTTTGTTTTTTTTTTGGTAAACTTTGAAATCTTCTGTATTACTTTATAACAGGTTACATTATTATTTTCTATAGATTTAATTCAGAGACTACTAATGGGACGTACAGGTATGGGCTGTTGGTTGGCCAATATAATCAATGTGATTTAGGCCATTTGCGGGGTATTACAGCAATGATGCATAGGTTTGAAACAACCTGCCTGCTTAGTTTCTTACAATTCTGTGGGTCTAACACAGGGGGTGCCCAAAAGGTAGATCCCCAGATGGTTTAAACCTACAGCTTCCATGATGCTTTGTCATTCTAAAGGCATGCACAGCATTCTGGGAGTTGTAGTTCTACAACATCTGGAGACCTACATTTGGGCACCCTTGATCTAACAGAACTGATGCTGCTTTAAAAACTATAGGGTGACCTCACCAAATATTGATTTAATTTACAGCTTTCCTCTGTTTACTCACTTTGCATTTTGTTAACTGATAAAAATAAACGATTTACACTTCTGTTTTTAAAAACATTCTTACTTTACAACATTTTTTTTTTTTGCACCAGCCTAAAACTTCTGCCCCTTTCAAGCTAAAATTGGCACCACATACATAGGAGGCATTAGGCGCGACCTACTAATTGGCGCAACGTCGTTGTGTAATGCTTTCTGAGACATAGCAGCCAGATCTGGCACCTACCAAAGTGGCATCAATGTTGGCGGGTATACAAGGTTTATGTAGTGCTAATTAACAAACTCGTTTTCTCTTTTTTGAATAAACCAAAAGCATTTTAATAGAGGCAGCAATGTATATCGCAGTAGTGAGAAATTAAGTGTCAGCCTGCCACAGCTCGAGTGATAAAATCTAAATTATAACTTACAGCGCTTAGATAATAAGTATCTGAAGGTATTGGTACAGGCTTTATAAAATAATCGACAAGGTTTTCTCAGTTGTTCTATAAATAAAGAAAATACATAACCTGTGTAATAAAAGTCCTGTAAGTAACTTGTTAGGTATGCGCACGTGATAATGCTGTATTTTTCATCCAACGGTGAAAATTTGTATCTCTTGTGATTTCTTGTGCAGCTGTCCCTGACCCAGAGCATGGATTTTTGTAGCTACTTTTTTGTCTAGTTAAAAGCCGATGATATCACGGTGGTCACCTTGGTCACGTACTAAGTTGTGAAGCACTTTTAAAATACAATAATAAATATAAAATGAAAGCTGAATTGTAATTGTACAACTCTTTTACACCACATTCAAGAGCAACAGCTAAACCGTTTGTGCATTTATAGTACCTGAATTTTCGTTAGGCTGAGACAGAATGTCTGACAGTGGAAGGGTATATGTAGTATTTGATGCATGTCGTAACAACCACTAGATGGGGAATAACCATATACGGAGGCAGGGAAGGATGGGCTTTGTGAGCTGGGCCGGACATATATGGTACTGATTTGACATTTACATTACATTTCTCTATTAGGTGTTGACTGAGGACATTGAGATGCCCTCCAGATAAATAAACAATAAAAGTAGGGATTAGTGAAGGATATTACTATCATTTATCTCTGTTCACTCCAAACACACAAAGACGTGTAAAATGCACAATATAAAAACAGTGAGAGCAATATTTGAAGTTATCACAGGCTATCAAATAAAGACACCTAATGCAAGTCAACGACTCCAAACATCTGTCCTTCAGAGAGAGGACACAACCACAAACCATGGATACATAATAAAAAAATAAAAAATATATATATATGAACAAAAGCCCTGCACTCCTACTTACTGAAAGAAATTCAGACCCGGTGCTCGATTGCATTGATAAACATAGAACAAAAATAATCAGCACTCCCAGGATTTATAAAAAGAGATTATTCTTTATTCCATAAGTCAACGTTTCAGCTCCACTTGGGAGCTTTCATCAGGACAGCAAACATAAAACAAATGAAGCACACATTGTTTAAATAAGAACATTAATCAAAAAAGGACTTACAGTTCAGGTGTGTAGAAGGCAGGCCTCCCCTCCTCTCGAGCGCCTGAAAAGACACCACCGGGATTCAGCATCTCATTAGTTGTGCTGACGTCATCAAAATGTGACGACGTTACCATGGAGATCATGACGCTGATAGCGTCTATTACTCATCTTCCAGTATACTTCCTGGGCGCCAGCGTTCTCCGTAGTCAGGGAAATACTGGTGCATGCGCAGAGAGCTAGCTCTCCCGGTCTAAGTGTCTGACCCGCGATCAGGGAGCAGACTACCAGTAATCTTCGCAAACATAAACATATATAACAAAACACATTATTTGAGAATGCTACCATATTCTCCTCCCTCCTATATCAAACTTGTCCAAAATTAGTATATCAACCCTTAATTTGATCAGTAAACAAAATGTAATAATACAGATTATTACCATCACAGGTCCAATCAGGACCCTAAAGTGCATCATATAGCATATACACAATCCATATATTTATACTAACTTAACATCTTGTCAAGCTAAAAGTGCTAGTGACCAACATTGGGGATCCCCGGAGTTTAACCCGGTTCCTCCTGTTAAGTGATAAATTTGTGTGATAGGATACTATAGTGTAAGTAGATAAAAGAGTATTATTAAAACAAAAATAATTGTAGCTATAAAAGCCATATTAGAAACCGTGATACCCTTGTAATGTTACCAAACTAAGCTATCCATATAGATAAAGTTATAATCGTAGAAAAAAGGTGTGTCGGGTGCTCACTCCAAAACAGAGGGTGGATAGGCAGCAGTAACCAATGCAAGGATTCCCAGCCTTGTAAAGAGACAGTATATTTAGAAAAGAGGGATGAAACCGCGCCTTACATTAACTGTACGTACATACACTTGATATCTCTTAATTGATGTAGATAATTTGTCCTCAAAAAAAAGAACACAAAGAGAAAAAGATACAATGGTGTAGTATGTTTAACAACTTGAGAACAAAGGTGGTATAGAAAGCGGAGGTATTTAGAACTCACATTTGGTAGAGCTAATTGGGAGCTCTACCGTAATTCGCACGGATGGTACAATCCCCGTTTTAGGATTAAAAGTCCGATGTCTTTAACACTCCAATAATATGGTGGTATGGATGGAATGAAAAAAGAGAAACTCCAATGGTATAGTAGTTCCAAATCCAAATGTAGAGAAAATAAATGAAAGTAATAATACTCACATTTGCTAGAGCAGACAACTTGCCCTAGTATATGGGGCTTGCAGTGGTATAATCCCCACTGTAGGATATGTAGACCAGGAAGTGATGAGGAGAATAAATTTTAAAGTAAAGAAGAGTATCACTTTAAAAAATATTTAATAATAACATTGATAAAACAAAAGGGCTATATAAAATAACACTTAACGCGTTTCGCCAGTTTGGCTTCATCAGAAGTGTAAATAACATTCCTCAAAACTTTCCTTTAAATATATGACTTACATAAGTAGAAATGTCTTCCTGGTGTGTATCAAATTTATAATATGAGAATAGAGGACCTCCTATGTGTGATATTGATCTATTGGATCGAAAATGGTGCAAATATATTTAACAAAGTGCAAATGCATACCTATTAAAGTGCAAAACAGTGCAAACAAAGTATCATGCGATACAATTAAGTGATTAGTGACGATTATTTCAAAACTATTAAACACCATAATTGCAAAAAAGTGTATATTGTCCGATGCACTCCCCTTTTTTTTAAGACTAAAAATTTAAAAAGAGGACAAGAAAATGAGAGGGAGAATGAACACCATAGTTACGTGTGTAACCTCTTTGTGCAAATTTATTACACATTTCCGGTATTTGTTCTTCGTGAAATCGCATATCCATAGTCATAAGATACAGTTTCTGGATCTGGAAATTCTATTAGAACAAGGAAAAATTGAATTCTAACTGTATAATAAACCGAGGGATTGTAACACCTTGCTCCATTATGAGAGTGCGTACCCCAAACATGTCAAGGACTCTCTACCATTCTCTCAGTTCTTGAGAGTCATAAGAAACAATTCTGGTATTTCCCGATGCGAAGAACCAATATGGGAAATGTGTAATAAATTTGCACAAAGAGGTTACACACGTAAAATACTTGATAGAGCACTCAGAAAAGCTAGGAAATACATGGCTGGGGGAGCGATACAGCCTCGGAATAATAATGTAAGAATTCCTTTTCCAATGACATATAAAACGTCCACTACCAGAATTTGCCAGGCAATCACCAAAAATTGGCACATTATGGAAAATGATAAAAGCCTTCCAGAAAGTCTCTGCAACAAACCGATGTTTTCTTATAAAAATAGCAAAAGTCTAAGGGACCTTTTAGTCCAGACTGATCCGGTTCAAAGCTATGCCGGTGAATAAGAATACAGGTAATAACGGTTGTGTGAGATGTTTAGGCTGCGTGACCTGTGGTCATCTCATTCCGTGTAAAAGTTTTAACCATCCAGACACAGGGCAATCATTTAAAATTCAACATAGGATCAACTGTGATACTGACTGCGATTTATAAGTTGTCCTGCCCGTGTGGGCTAAATTATGTCAGCAAGGCAGAAACTGCCCTTTGCAAAAGGATAAGAGGACACAGGTCTAGCATCAGGTTGGCCTATAGGGACATTAAGTCCGACAAACCGGTCGCATGGCATTTCTAGGAAAAAGGTCATCCTTTTACATCATTAAAATGTGTGGCGATAGATCATGTTCCAGTCTCAAGAAGAGGTGGTAACAGGCAAGAACAACTGTTACAAAGGGAAACATGGTGGATTAAAAAATTGGGGACATTAGCTCCAAATGAAACCGTCGTATATTGCTTTTTTGTAATAATCTGATGGTGCTTGAATTGGTTGTGTAAAGATTCATAGTTGGTTGTAAATAGTGTTTTTTTTGCTCCAAAGTGCCAGGCCTATTTTAATCTTTGGATTCTTTATCTTGCTCTATATCTCTAGGGTTTAGGATAATTCACGCTGTAACGGATCACCTGACACCCCGACTGGGTACCTCCGTTGATGGATGCTCCTAGCGCTTCCTGAGGACTCCAAGCACTGCAGCAGACACCAAAACCACCGAACCATAGGAGCATATGAATGCTCTCAAGCATATGAATGCTTTAAGCAGCTGAACAGGAAAAGCATACAATCTGCTTACACTCCTGGCAATCAGCATACAATCCAATTCCCCCAATAATGAGACGACACTTCATTTTGAGGTCAAGCAGAACTGACTGTACTGGCACATACAGCCTCTTTTATTCACAATCCACAAACGTAGTACTGCCCACAGGGTTTTTGAAAACAACCAATAAACACGTACAATACACTCAGACACTCCCACACAAAATCCTCCCCTCTGCCTGTGATACAATTACCTTACACAATGGGTAATGTAATTATCACCGGCAGAGAAATACAGTATCATAAAACACATCACAGAGACCCCAAAACATGCAATAAAAAGTATAGCATTTGAACCAGGGGATCTGGGTGAACCACATATCCAAAATTCACCCAGATCCGTTCAGTACTTTGGAAGATACAGTTTAATGCAGATTCTGCAGAACATATACAGGCTATATGAAAAACAATTACTGTATAATGTGTCCCCTGTTGTATAGTCCAAAACCACTGCACGATGTCTCTGTGCACCAAATACTGGCGAGATGGCACCGTGTAGAAAAGTCCAAACAGTGTCTGTGAGTTAAAATGGCCGCCATCCATTGTTCTCACCATGTGCTTCATCCATTGTTTTCACCATGTGCCTCTGATACATGAAATGGTGGCCACCCAGTAACTCCACAGTATGTCCCCAGATGGTTATTAAAGGGCCAGCAGCAGCGCAACACAAATCCATTATGCCCAAATCATGTCTTTAAAGGGCAATACATCCCAGGGGCCATGGTCACATGGCAGGAGGCTGGCAATCAGTCTTCTCCAATGCCCATGGGCGAGGGACGGGTTCGCCACATTTCTCCCCTTTTCCAAAAAGACTAACAAGGTATCTGACCTCCTGTCGGTCAGTGCCTTGGTTAGTCCAGCAACCCACCCACAAAACATAGTCAGTAGTGCAGCCCACCCACAATGAAAAGTTACTGTATCTGGGGTAGTGGGTAGTTTGTCTATGTCCAGGGGCTCCACCATGGGTCTGGGGAGTACTAGCTCTCCGGTTCAGTGGTTGTGGTGTCTGCTGCAGTGCTTGGAGTCCTCAGGAAGCGCTAGGAGCATCCTTCAACGGAGGTACCCAGTCGGGTGCCAGGCGATCCGTTACACACGCTTTATTTATTTTCTTTATAGGACTGCAGATACAGGCTATTGTGAAAATACATTTGTGGTATTCTCTTCTGATACATGGGAGGAAGTAATGGGATAACTATGGTGTTCATTTTCCCTCTCATTTTCTTGTCCTCTTTTCCAGTTTTTAGTCTTAAAAAAAAGAAAGTTCCTGCTGTACTCTTGTTGGGTGTTTGATGACAGCCCACAGTTGCACTAGGCCGACCTTTGTAGTAATTAGAGAAATCAAGTTTGTCTCACTGCCACGCAATGCCAGCATTTGGCTTGTATAGACTAGTTGATCAGTGTGGCAGATCCTTAACTTTGTCATCCTCTGATTTGTTAGGAGTAACAGAAGTTTTGATCCTTCCTAAACTGGATGGTCAAAGTTTTCTTCTGTTGTCTTTCTATTGCTACAGTTGTTGGGATTATAAATCAAACACCAGCTGGCGAGTGGCATATTGCAGTTTCCTTCCGTAGAATATGTTATATTAAGTCACTCTAGATACAAGGTGATGTGGGATTTTCCATCATGAGTGGCAGGGACAGCTGCAACCCTCTGTTTGTTAGCATGGCGCCCACATGCCCTTTAATTCTGTGCCAAGTGTGTGGCTTCCATCAGACTCCGAACTATTGACAGGGATTGATTGAAATGCCTCTGGGGTTGGGGGGGCACTCTGCATTCACACATCCTTCTGTACGGACAGCTGCTGCAAGACCCCTATAAACAGTCACCATCAAAGCTTCGGGACGCCCCAGGCAGTGTATGTACACAGGGACATCTCTCGTTTCATATTCCGGACGCATTCAGACTTCAAATGCCACACTGCTGTGGAGAGATTGTACGACCAAGCCTGCCAATTATTTACTTTTTTCCCCCACTAGAAAATGATTTTATAACATTTTACAATTTAGAATGCTTCTGACCCTGCTGCTTGTGAAACCTAAAGTATGAGCACATGTACAGCCTGATTTTCGCAAGAAGGCAAATGCCTCAGCAAAGGCTACTAAAACTAATCAATAACAGCTGCCAATGTTCAAACACATCTGTTGAATGCAGAATATTCCATCACACAATATCCCTTTAATTGTTCAGATCCACAGAAGTGGCAAACACATGAATTGTGAGCTCCTGTGACTCCATTTTGGCTTGCTTCTATATGTGTGTTCTGTTTAACATGATTTCTGTATAAAGTAGCCAATAAATAAAATGTTGGATAAATGTCCCTTTATGTGCTCCCAAAAATGGTACATTTGATTAATAATCAAGATAGGCACTGTTCACACCCAGGGGGAGATCTCGGTAGCTTGGGACACTCTCGGGAAAGCTACCCAACCATTGGAAGTGGGAGAGTCGGTGAATGCCCGGTGCCGGTTTTTGCTCAAGCCTGGGCCTGGAGAGATGGTTCTTGGGGGTGCTGTCATGCTGAGCTGCCCAGTCATTCTACTAGCCCGAGTGTAGTAGTTGGTTGACTCATGCAATTGGTCCATTGTTGGCCATCATACTACCATTCTTTTAATGTTTTTCTTTTGTGTGTTCCAGTTACTTTCGGTTTATTTACGTTTTACTTTCATGGATCTTTTCAGAGTATCATAAGCTTAGTTTGGTGCACCTATATCAAATGGTAAAATTCTGTAAACTGGATACTCATATAATACAATTTTCAGAGACACTCTGAATCATTTTTTGTCAAATATATATAAAAAAAAAAATCATACTGTTAAAATTATTTCAATTTTAACTAAATCATGGTAAAGTGATCACTAACAGACTAGGGAGCAACATTCTGCTCTGACTAAAATAACTGATGGGCATATATTTCGTGGAGAAATAAGGAACCACATAGTTCAGACCCCAAACATAAGTAGAAGGAAATACTAAAACTATGATTTATTATAACAGAAACCTTGTATAAAATGCAGTGTGAGAGATCATTGCTCTTTAGTTGGCGAGTAAACACTTCCCCTCAGTTCCATTGGAAATAGAATAATCTACACAGTGTTGCAGTATATGTTACATTTCCTTTCTTGCATTTTATTCTTGTCGAATTCCTCTGAAAGTTATCCAGTAGAATTTACTATTCATTTATAGCTTTGTATGTTAACCATATATCGCTTGGAAACACAATTCTTATTCCAAATAGCTAGTTAGACGTCTTTCTCCTGCCTTTCCATGCAGGTCTCAATACACTTCTAAGGGACACGATAGGTACCCAGACCACTTCATCTTATTGAAGTAGATTGGGTGCATTGCCCCTGTTGCCTTAACCATGCAATGTAAAACAGTATAGTTTTAGAGAAACTGCAATGTTTATATTGCAGGGTTAAACAGCCTCTAGTGGCTGTCTACCAGAAAAAAAAGTTTTTTATGCTTTTTATTGCCAGGGAGGGAAGAGGAGGTGGGGGAGGGGAGGGGTACAAAGGCAAAGGTATACTGTAGTGTTAGGAATACAGATTTTAACAAATGCTTAAAGTGACAGCTCTTATTTCTCACTCCAGTAAACACATATGAAATATTCTATGGCGTGAGTAATGCTTTGCTGATGAATGTAAAATGAACTGCGGGAGCACTTTTATGATCAGGGTGATGTGATATCTCCCCATGATGTTCCCAGCACACTTGTACACTTGGCATCCACTGAAATTGATTACCATGGGATTCGACTAATTTACATTATTATCTGACCGTACCAGGGAAGCCAGGAATACAATGTAAATGAAAAGTGAAAACCACTGAGAGTTTAAAATAAACACTTTAAAGGACCACTATAGGCACCCAGACCACTTCAGCTCAATGAAGTGGTCTGGGTGCCAGGTCCAGCTAGGATTAACCCTGCCTGCTGTAAACATAGCAGTTACAGAGAATCCAGCCTCTAGTGCAGACTTCCCCAAACTGCAGCCCTCCAGATGTTGCTGAACTACAACGCCCATGATTCTATGAATGAAATAGGCTGCGAATCATGGGAGTTGTAGTTCAACAACATCTGGAGGGCCGCAGTTTGGGGAAGCCTACTCTAGTGGCTGTCTCACTGACAGCCGCTAGAGGCGCTTTTCACAGTGAGAAGACGCTCCCGTCCATAGGCTCTTGCAGGGCACTATAGTGCCAGGAAAACGAGTTTGTTTCCTGGCACTATTTCAGAGTTACATAGCTGAAAAGAGGCTGGTGTCCATCAAGTTCAGCCTTCCTCACTTCCTGTTTTTTGCTGTTGATCCAAAAGAAGGCAAAAAAAAACAGTTTGAAACACAATTTTGCAACAAGCTAAGAAAAAAAATTCCTTCTTGACCCCAGAATGGCAGTGGTCCTTTAACGATTGAAGAGGCTATTCCATAGGAAGGGAGCTGCCCGCGAGAAGTCCTGCAAGCGTGAGCTGGCCGTACGTGTGCGAGCAGCGGATAGGAGAAGGTCACAGGCAGAGCAGAGAGACCGAGGAGGGGCATACCTATGGATCTGTGAAGAGTTCAACAGTACAATTGTATATGCATAGCACTAACCATGAAAACATACATAGAAAAGAAAACATAAGTTTAATCAGTGTAAGTGGTTTCGGTATATATACCATCGAGCTAGTATGTTATCGGGGGTCATTATTACACATTAGAATGTTGTGGTCACTCTCTCTCAGTGCCCTGCAGTGAAGCGTAGTAAATGTGCTTTCGGGTGAGATGGTAGTTCATGTGGGCCAGAGAGCTGTCTCCTGGCTGGTTCCAATGTAGGTTCCTGTCACCAGTCACCCCCTCTACCCTATTCTTCATGGTGGGTCAGGTGAGAGTAACAAGATAAGGTTGAGGAGTGGCAGGCTTCTACCCTTGTGGGCCAGCGACCCGATACCCCCATCTAAGTCCGAGTCCGTTCCTGAGTGGCACCCTCCTCATCTCCCGTGTCCTCCCCCTGTCGTCCGAATGCCAGCACGTTTTGGAAGTCTATGCGGTAGACCTCCAATAGCCAATGTATCAATATATTCAAAATTATTTTCACATTTGAGGCCTGGGTTAGACGAAGTGAAAGCAAGTTGGTTATTTTTACCATGAATTTGAAATTCACTTTAAATTCTCCCTTTAGTGTAAAGCCCTGTACGGGGTTAAATCCCTGATCCTCTGCGGAAGCATTCAGGAGTCGCCCTGACGGACACATGTAGCGCAGTCATTCCACAGTAAGTAATGTAATTATTATACAGGGTGTTAGTGGGATCGGCGGTGGAGTCACTTTGACCATATAACCACCTGCCTAATGCACAGCATCGTGATCCCTGCCAACTAATATCTCATCTCTCTCTCTGAGGGCCCCTACAGCCTGCGTCTGCTGCCTCTATTGAGAAAACCTTAAAACGTCCTCTCCCCACGCCTTGAAAACAGGTCTAATACTCTCCCTGCAGCACTACGGGGGGGACTGAGTGGAACACACAGCTTCGCTCATACTCACTAATACATCAATCAAAGGCTAGATACAGAGTTTACAATAAAGCTCACTACTGTCATAACCCCCTGCAAAGTAAATATAGGGGAGCTGCTCTCCCTTTAAGAAATGGCATTTTAATAAACTAATAAAGAAATAAGACAAAATAATAACAATTTTATATATATATGTTTTGTGCTATTTGTGGTGTATGCGTCTGCTGTGCTATATTATTGCAGTTTTTTTTACATCCTTCCATATTTTACACGTGGGTTTTTTTTTTAATGTGTTCAACTATAAATATCCAGAAATGATTAGAGCGCTCACTTTATATGTTTTCTTGTTTATAAACAGATTCTGGCCGAGGATTGTGGGAATGCAAGTGGGGGGGTAGCTTGAATGTTGAAGTTATAATGTTATACAATGGGTAAAAAAAATACACCAGGCAGAGCTTCTTATCGTTTTCAGCCGTAAACGTAGACTGGGTATAGGTACCGTGAAACTTTACTGGCCCTGTGTAAAAAAGTTCTCAAATACATTTCCCAAAATAATTAATCTAGTGCACGTTTATATACTTATTTATATATTTCATGGCTGAGTATTGTGGGTGTAGTACTGTATTGTGGGTAATTTGCCATCATTTGCCTGTGGCTGATGTGAGTGATCCTTCCTTTGGCAGCCCAGGGTAGAAGTCCTCTAATTCACATCGTTACGTAAATAAAGCCTGGCACACCATTCCCACCTCAGTTTATATCCCAAGATCTGCTGTGTTTGTGTATTTTGTGGGCGCCTGCGAAATCACTCCCGCTTTGTAATTGTTTAGTGTTTTTTTTTTTTTCTTCCATAGATGCAGCGTTTGCGAACATCTTGCAGACCACTTGTTTTTAGTTGATTCGAAACGCTGCTCTCACCCCTCTCTCTAAGCCCAGCTCGCAGCCAAACATTACACGCGTTCTCTCCCTGAGCCAGCACAGATGGTGTACAGAGACAGGCCAGCTCTCCGAGCCTGCTCCCCTCTTCACCTCTCCAATCCGCTGCAGGCTGTGAGGTCCCTCTCATTATTACTTAAACAAGGCAGAGCACACCCATGGACGAGTACCATAATGCCTTGTATAAGGAATTAAATTGAAGATTATATTAGCTTTAGTGTACTAATAATCTTAATTTTAGTAATGACAGGAGGC